TGGCCTTTCCCCTGTGACTCATCTAGAAAGGTTAACATACATGCTAAGGGTCACCAAGTGTCCCAGAGAAGTCAGTGTTTGAACCTGATCCCCCCCCTATGTAATTCCCTGGTAGGGGTCACTGTTTGTCTTTGTGTCTGCCTTTCACACTTATAGTTTTTCACTGATCTCAACCAAACTTGGCATGTACCCTTAAGGACTCTTCAGGAGTGACATGAATCTTATCTATAAGTCAATCCTCACACACACACACACCTATAAAACCTCAGCTGTACTATATTGATCTCTATTGTACTGATCTCTATCAAATTTCAAAGACATCATTAGGGAGAAACATAGGGTGGAAATTCTCAGTCAACTTTTAGGAATTGGAGTTTTCATTTCATAAAAAATTTAAACACTATTTTTATAAGATTATGTTTGATTGAAATGTATAGCATTACTTTTGTTGTATTGAGAGTTGTTTCCTAATCAAAAACAGAGCTGTCATCTTGTATATGCACATAAATCAAGGATATTCAAAAGATAAGTATACCTGTAATGTGTATCTTTTTTCTTTCAGTTTCATTGCTGCTTCAATTGAGTTTCTAGTGTTTCTTGGTCTACGACCCTCTTGGAATTGAGGCTCTTCCAAAATGTACCCTAAACTTTTAGTAGTTGAGGACTTGCTTCTTCGAGTTTTATTAACAGTGGTAGAGGCTACTAAAAAAGACAAAGAAAGATTTCCTAAATAAAATTATTTGTGATAACTATCATTTAAAAAAATCCTTTTTACATAATTAAATACTTGTAGTAATAAATTTAAATCTCTTTTATTACTAAATTAAGGAATCAGATAAAAAACTAGTTAGGAAAGTTTCCATTAACAGAACCATGTTTTTGGCAACCACTTCTCCACAGGACCAGAGGTTCAGATCCAGTATGTTACATACTGCTGTAGGTTGTTTTTAATATAGACAATTCTCAATGTTTATATTGTTGATTGGTCAGAGGGAGATTTGACTTAACATGATTGGCATGGTTTAACATCTGGAATTTTCTTCAAAGTCACAGAACACTTTAAGCAATATCAAATGCAAGTTAGGCTAGAAAAGATGATACTGAGTCTATTAATAAGTTACATCGTGTCTCTTAAAATGAGTTGTTTAGTTAGTGTTTTTCTTAGTCGGTCAGTTGGTTCAGTTGCTGTAAAGACTGGGTTTGTATGGTTGATGTATAAACAAGAGACATGCCATATGCTGTAGTTGAATATATAAAACATTTTTGTTATTATTAAATGAACTAGTCATTGCATTAATTTTTAACCAAATAATCTAAAAGATCAACCAGCAATAGAAACTGTTACAACAATATTCTGCAAGCAGTTTCAAAGAAACAAGTTTTGAGTAGGAAGCATGTGAAGTTACTGAGTACAAGGCTGTATGATGACAAAACCTTGTCGAAACGTTGTACATTTTCTGTTATGTTAAACTTATATTAAAGTTTTTCTTCATTATCCATTCAAGCCATCTCGAAGCATTACAATGCTGTATAGATTACCATAAAATAAAAACTATAGCACACAATACAAAATAAAGTACAGAAAATCCTTCAGCATTAAAACAATACCAGTCAAGCCATGTTGTAATCAAATACACAAAAAATTTAATTGTTTTCATTTTGTTTTAATGTTACCATTTTATTAGTGTTATTTTGTATTAATCACCTCTTCATTCATGCAAATGAAATGCAAAAGATTATTTCATTATTTTTATAATGCTAATTTCTTATTGTTTATAATTCATTAATATTCATTATTTTCATTCATGATATGGTGTTTTACTATTAACTAGTGGTCATTTTATGAATAGAAAATGAAACATATTTGCATTAACCTGTTTAAATAAGTACTTATGTAAAGTGCACATATTTACCAACTTCTAATTATGGTGTAGTTCCTATTGTATGGCATTTTCTGATTGTGATATATATCGTGCAATCCACCAATGGTACACATTGTTGAAACCTAAGCTAAACAATGCCTTGATGACCAATCAGTAGATGAAATTACCTTGATAAACAATAGAGCACAATAGTGCAGTTTCTTAGATTTAAAAAAATTCCTGAATCCTGTGCAGAGTTCTTGTATTTTTCAAAAACTTTCCAAATATTTCCACACTGGAAATTTATTAGTTGAAATTCCCAAATATTTACTAATTTCAAGAATGCACGAATACCCCATCAACTCAATGTCACCTCAATTTTGGAAGGAACAGCATATGAAGAAAGAATCTGATTTTACAATTACATGACAATTTTATTTTAGACCTAAGTTGTTTTTTCTGTTAGTATTTTTGTCTACACATGTTTCAACTAACAATTTATTTTTTACAAAAATTAATTTTAGCTGTTATTTTGGCAGGAAAAAAAAAATATATTTTCCATTACAACTTTTTTCAGTTGGAAGATGTTTGCAATTGATTCATCAGGTCAAAAACGATTTTATAACAAATATTAAAAATACAGTAATACCAAAAAACATCTTTAATATGGATGTTTCAGAATTTCTTTAAATTCCATCATCACTTTTAATATCTTAAAAAAATTAGTTCATAATATTTGAATTATAAAAAACATTTTTGTATTCAATTGAAAGTTTAGAATGAATACATTTAAACGGTAACAATATAATGGAATGTAAAATGAAACGTGCGGCATACACATGTTTAATAAATAAAAGTGTTCGTAATCTGTGGTTCCGGAGTCGAGAATTTTTAAGTTTTCTAGAAGTAATGGGTGGTTGTTATTCTCACTTTGCAATTGGATAGAAGACTTGGGTGGATTACTTAGTTTACATCTGCCTTTTGCTGAAATTCACATATTTGTGTTTATGTATTTGTAGATGATGTGTAGTTTTACATTATATTGTCACCGTATAAATCCGTTCTTTCTAAACTTCCAATTGAATATGAAAACTCGCTCAATACTAATATTGTTGTTTATATGTTTCAATATTATGAATACATTTTTTTTTAGATGTTAATGCTGATGATGGAATTTAAGGAAATTCCAAAATGTATGTATTAAAGATGTTTTTTGGTATTACCATGTTTTTAATATTTATTATCAAACTTTTAATGTTTTATGAATCAGAATTTCATACGCTAGTATACAATATTTACAGTAAATCATGTTATTTACTGCAATCAGTTCTAACACATATTTATAGTATCATTCATTACTATAATACCAGTTTATAAGATAAATTAAACTCCAGAGACAGTTTTTGGAGTGTATTAACTGATTTTTTAACTTTATCACAACGTCTCGACTAATGTGGTTATCATCAGGTAAACCATCATCTATTGCAGGCTATCATCAGGTAAACTGTCATCTATTGCATGAAGTATTTTATTCCAAGTTATAAAACATAAAGGGTGACACCTGTGTTTTGATTTAAATTAGGTTTTAGTTCATGAATGATTAATACTTCTTATATTTTTCTTTTATTAATATTGTTCTCATTACACTATATTTTAAAGTTGCTAATAATGATTGGATGTAGAATCGTTTGGCTGTGTTCATAACTGTGTGATAGGGGATTGCTATGTTCTTTGATCCTAATATTTATGTTGTATCCCATTCCACCATAACATAAGTGCTGTTGCATCAATTACATTGATATTTGTAAGTGCTTCCATCACTGAAGTTGTCAAAATAAACTGTGTCAGAATCTGATGCTTAAATAAAATAGCCATTTAAAAATCAATGGCTTTGCATGTGAAATATATAACTTAAGTGTGCCAGGCTGGCTTCAGACCATGCTTAACTGTAACACAACTCAGAAATATAATCAATTCTGTTTTTTTCTATTCTGACAACCTGTAATAAAAATTACTTGGTATTGAAAATAAATTTATTGTAACTGTTTCATTCAGTAAAACTTAAAACTGCTGTTATAGAGGTAATAATACCTAAAAAGTATTTTTCATTTATTCAATACCTAACCATAATTCATATTCAACATTTAAATCAGAACATTTTTTTTAAATATTTCTTTAAAAGAAATTAGATTCAGATTGTAAAATAAGACATTAAAACTTACAAAATTCTTGCAATGAAGGAGGTTTTGGATTTGCGAGAGTCCACCAGCCAGATTCACCTAACTCTGACATTCCAGAACGAAAGTGCTGAGGACAACCAGCAGACAGAGTACCAGCCACTGTTCCATGCCAAGTTGACGTCTTCTTTCTAAAAATAGAAAAGAAACAGCAACATAATATGAATTGATTAAATTCTAAAATAAATGCATACTCATCCACACACACACACACATGTATATTTCATACATTTTTATGCATAATAGCCAAGGATTAAATTTGGCTGTGATGGTACACCATTAATAAACCAATTAAGCTGACAATAAACATGTTAGCCTGTTGTAGTTAATACTGAGCTATCATTACAACAGTCTCAGATCCACAACAACATTCAAACTATGACTCAATTATGGATAAAATAACATACAAAACCTACTTCTTTCTAGTTCTTGAAAATATTATGTTTAAAAGCAAGCATAGGCATCGGAGCAAACCTCAAGTCGGGGGAGTTGAAGTGACTCCAGTAGGGATACCATTGAGGGGTATTTTTAGGTTGTTCTATAAATTCCATTTATCATGGTTTTTCCATGCAATATAATTATACATTGTGATAGATAGTTTTTGTGATTTAACCCTAAAACTGTGGGGGCAGAAAAACATCTCGACTTTTAGGAACGCAAGTGTTAGATATGTGGCAATAAGTAGACAAAATTTCAATTAATACTCCTTCCTTATTTTCTTATTGTATTTAAGAATCAAGACAAATTCCTAAAATACTTTAATAAGAAATTGGCTTTTGGGTCTTAGTTTTATAATCAAATGGAGGTTCTTTTTTTAAAACTTTTTTCAACTCTTGTTTTTTCATCAAAATAAAATAAAAAACAGAGAGATCTCATTAGGGAACAGTTTTTGTATCAAGAGTATATGAAAACAGCAGTTGTACATAAAACTATCTCTCATTAACTGAGATCACTGAGGGGGAAAGAAAGAAAGAAAAATCCTCTGATAACAACTCTTCAGGCATGAAAAGGCCTTTGACATGATTTAAGAAAATATAAAAGACACTATACAGTCATATCACATGATCAGCATGTAGAGAAGCTATAAGGTTTGAATTTGTTACTTATATATTTGTGTATGTCAGTTGTCATGGTATCATTGATTTTCAGATATTTACTTACCTTCTTCTAGAAAGAGATGTTCATCTTTGTCTATACTGTATGGCTAAATTTGATGGGAATAACATTTTTGTAGAAAGTGTTGTTTTGTAATTACGTGATTGATACAGTCTATTAGTTATATTTTTATGCTTTGCCAATTCCCAGTTGAATTTGTTTTCTCAGTAGATAATGATGAATGTAAGTTTGTCCATTAGATTAATTACATCTCTTTCTAGAAGAAGGTAAGTAAATATCTGAAAATCAATGATACCATGACAACTGACATACACAAATGTAAGTTTATCCATTAGATTAATTACATAAATTTGGCTTCTTTCATAAATGGCTATTTGTGCTACCAATGATAGACAAGGGGAAAAAGCAGCTCGTCAACAGCATTCTCTGCCAATTTGTGGGTTATTCTAATCAAACAGTGGATTTTGATTGTCATTCTTATAATGCATCAATGGCCTTGAAGTGTAGGGCATAATTTGTTTCTCAGCGATAGGATGTGAAACATGAACCCTGGGATACACAGCCTACTAGCTTCCCAAGATTTTGAGGTGCCCAATATTGCAGCTGTCTCAAGAATGATGTCTGGTAAAAGGAGCCAATTATAAACAGCTTAGACATATGGTCAATACTAATTTCAATCAGCTCATCTAGGATAAACACAAAATGCTGTTTCACAAAATCAGTTATGTTACAGGTATGTAAACTGATCTGATGTAATTTTCTGATACTGCATAAAAATAAACCATTTTCTGATAACATTTTTCACAACACGATACCAATAATGGATAAACTATCAAAGAAAAACACCTTTGTCTTTTTTTTTCTCTATCAGTGTAAAGCTCAACATTAACCTGTGGCATAAACTATTTTTTCTTATCAAGTTAATTATTTGTTAAATATGAAATTTTATAGTTCTATTGGAAAAAATCTGAAAGCATGTAAACTACAAAGTGTTTTATGTTAATTTTATTTTTTTATTTTCCAGCAGTATATTCAAAACTCAAGAGAATAATAAGATCATATATAAAATTTATCTTTTTACTCCAGCTTAATCCCCAAACTAGAATCAAATATTACAATTTTCCTTAAGTTCACTACCTCAAAACAAACAATCAGTGGTAGATTAAGACACCTTGAGGCACTGGGACAGTGAATAATATGGGCCCCCCCTCATGCATATTATTTTTGTTGTACAAGACAAGCATTACGTCATGGTTAAATACACACATTGGTTTATAGATACATATATACTTATAATCAAATTCCTTTTTTTATGTGTATGTACATTTTGAATTCTTAATCCTATTTTAACAACAAAAATCTACCTTTGAAAAAAAAAGATATTCATAACTATAATAAAATTTCAAATAGCATTCCCAAATTTAAAAGAAACATATTTAAAAACTCATTTCCTTTCTAACAATTTTTCCTTTTTTTTCAACAACACTCTTTACATATAGTATCCTAGCCTAAAATTTTTGTGGCCTCATTTACCTCACAGCCCCTGGGCAGCTGACCCATTTGCCCTCCAGTTAATCTGCCACTGGATATCTCAGCAAATAGAAAAGATAGGAGGTTCTTGTTTTATATTTTAGCTTGTCAATATCAGTAATTTGAGTTCCTAATTCATAAGATTTGTTGGAAGAAAATTGATTTAAGAGGCATTTGGGGGCCCCTTACACCTTACAACAAAGGCTGTATGATCTGATGAAAAGCATTAGTTCGAAACGTCATCCTTCATTAAATTAAAATATAAAAAACTTGTCAACTGTTCAACCTATTCTTTAATTTTGATATCTTTGTCGCCTCTTCGGTTTTAATTATATGTTTCTTTTAACCCAATATCTTGTCACAGAAGAAACTGTCAGTAGCTAACACTAAAACTTTTTCAAGACTGAAAAAGCATTTAAAAAACTATAAAAGATTTTCTAGATATGTGATTTGGTACTAAGTCTTAAAAACTTCACATTTCAATGTTTTCCTTTCAGGAGCTAAGTCTAATCACTTTCCAGGAAAACATAAGTTACTTCTCATGCCACCTTATTCAATCTACGTTGACGTAAATAGTTTATAATCTACTCTATCCAATCATATTTAAATGTTATCCATAGTTATTTTCAAAGATGTACTTCAACTGCAATTGTTCAGAACACATTCTTGCACATCATAAAAGCTTGGAAACAAAAGAATGTAGTAATAAAACCATTAACTTTCTCAACACAGGCTAGGTCAAATTGACCAACCATGTGACCTCTTTTTGTTTGTTTAACCCTTTCTTGACAGGCTCAGTATAAAATACACGAGTTCATATACACATTTGCACACGTTAAGTATTTATACTATAACTTTTAAACCAGTATGTGTATCTTTACAAAAAATCTGATTTTTAATGAAGTATTTTTACTAAAGATTTGTTTGTGAAAATATCACATCTGTTACCTTAGTCTGAGTGCAAAGTGATTTTCATGATATGATTGAAAAACTATTCTTCGTCCCAAATATCTCAAATATTATTTGTATAATCTCTAAAATCTCCTTAATACATTTCAAATGTTTGTTTTCAGTAAAACTTTATATTTTGTCTGTTATTTTCTCTACCCATAAAAAATTATGAAATAAATATAAATTATGCTTTTTTCATTCTAGAATGACTACAAATTATAATACGAAAACACAAATGTTTAGGCTAAATAGCTTAAATCTCATAACATTATACATTTATATATATTTATTATTTATATTTTATTGACCTTCCAGTCGTGTCTGGCTAACATTACAGATGTTGCAATGACACGGCACATGTGCACTCATGTTACTGTATACAATAACATAAAACTGGCCTTTACAAAGTGACATGTCCTGGCTGTGTTTTAGTGGACTAGTATTTTGTAAAATACAGTCACATTTCAGTTATAATATATTATACATAATTACATATGTAATAGGATCCCAAGCTAATGGAAAGGATATGGGTATGGGAGACAATGGGGGTGGGGAAAAGAATTGGATGACAAGTCCTTCTAACAAAACTCCAAGAACCCAATGATCGGTAATAAATCCCCACCACATGTGAACAAAATCGGTCAAACAAACCCCCACCAGACTGGAACCCACAGGAAAGTCACCGGTACTGCTGGCAACGAGGACATTTGAGTGGATAAAAATGATGAAAGGTGGAACTCCTAGTGGGAGGAACAGGTAAAGGACAAGAGGGTGTTAGACATGGAATAGGAACAGGGGTTTGCAAGGGCTCAGGCTGAGACAAATGAGCAACCAAGGACAAAAGGATCAAATGTTGCCTCACAAGTTCCACCCATGATTCCTAAGTTTCAGGAATATCCCCAAAACAAATAGTTGGAGAAATAGAATCATCTGCAAGTCCTGAAAATAAGTTGATGGTAAAGAAACTTGGAACGAGACAGCATCTCTCCCCAGAAGGTCCCAACAGCAAAAAACCACGTGTGGAGAGCAGAGGAGGACAATTATGCCAATGTAGAGGTAAATAGGGAGAAGGCACCCCCCAAACATCCCTCAGGAGAATGGTGGAGTGCCTCAGAAAGGATGTTTATGGTGGACAAGTACCATAAAAGAGTTGTAAGGGTAAGACAAAGATGGGAAAACTGTCAAAGTCAGGCCAGCTGGCAGAAGTGATTCTATCTGTTGAGAATCAAGAAAGGGGTAATCTGCCTGATGGTAATCTAAGACAAACCGATCCTTGGCCCATGGAGAGAGAGACATGCTAGCACCAGCTCACAACTGAGAAATAAATCACTCAGCATGAACCCTGACATCAGAAGTGGGAGGGAAAATACTGAGAGGAAGGAGTGTCATGTAAAAAAGGAAGGAACAGGAAATCAGGGAAATTGATAAAATGGAATATACCTGAGAAATCATGTCTAAAAAGGCTGAATTAGGCCTGACAGGTTCCACTGGAGAGGCACAGGAAGGCATGGCATAATTGGGAAGAGGAAAATAGATGTCAAAATCCTTATCATCACAAACAGGTTTGGCTTGTTCAAGAGAAAGTCTATCACTTTTAGGAGAAGAAAGTCAACTCAAATAAGAATCAATCTTCCAATGAAGAAAAACCAAAAATTCCTCAGTCGAGCTCCCCCGACCTGAAGCTAGTGTAAGTGTAGTAAGAGCAGGTGATATAACTTCCGAAGTGGTCACATTAACTTTGGTATTCATCATAAAATAACAAAATTTTGAAAATTATTCAAATAAAAGAAGAAGAATAAATAAGGTAAGTTTGCACATAAAAGTGGAAAATTGAAAACTATTGTAAAATATTAAAATGATCTTTCCACTTTGTATGATATTAATAAAGAAACAAATGTGTGAATAGAGCAGAATCAAAACGAGTCTTGACTGTAGCACTGCCAAACGAGAAGTGATAGTTTTGTAGAATCGAATAGAGGGAGCCACATGCATCAGGAGGCTGTGTTGCACTCCTATTGGTGGATGGTTCTCACTTGATGATTTGCATGCAAGATGCAGTGTAACCATGATAATTGTTGGTAAGTGTGAGTGTAAGGCTTTTGGCCTGCAAAAAAATGTTTTCAAATAGAGGGTTGCTCAAAACGAGTATAGCTATAGCTATATGCGAGTGGAGGTAATATGCTGTATCGGAAGTCAATACCAGCAAAAAAATCCATAAACCAGCATTATCTCAACAGTAAACATTCCATAAAACAGCATTATCTCAACAGTTAACATCTTTCCTAATCAATCAAAACTAGCCTTTTGCTTTGCAGGATTTGGGTCATTTACATAAGGAGTCATTGGTGCATAAATTTGCAAATCCTACATAGAATTAAGTGTAATCCTCTACAATAGGCATGCTAAATTTGAAAAAATTGATAACCTAAAAATATACAAATTTTAAACAAACCCCACTATCTTTTCATTTTTGTGAGCAGTGTTTACTTGATGCAAATTTGGAAAACTGTTAATGCTATTTTTGTACTGTATGGCAGTAAAGATGGTAGATAAATCGTAATGGAAACAATAAAAATGAACAAATAAAGCTTTTTTGGGCTACACTTACACTGGATAAAAACTATATGGCTATAGTTATTTTACCTCCAAACTGGAATAACAAAGTAACAAAGCAAGGTAGTTGAAGGACAAATGGATCATCAGTCGTGATCTTGTATTCCTTGACTGACATTTTAATGTCTAAATCAGTTAAGTACATTCTACTCAACTACCACAACACATTTCACACTATCACTTACTTAGTATTTCCAAAGAAAGTTGTCCAGTTTTTGTCAATAAATTTACAAATGTGTTCCCTCCAACGAAAATAGCCTCTCTTTCCCCCACCTTGAACCTGCATGTTGTAAAGTGTCAGCAAAATGACCTGGATCCTAGAGAAAAAAAAAAAAATTATTTTAGATTAAATTTTTTATTTAACTACTGGAAATATGAGCTTTTTAGTATCACCATATCACTGAATATAACAGCATCCACTTTATTGCTTGCTAGATATAATTTAAGGACAATAAGAGACTTGTTGGCCCATCTAGGCTGTCCCATTTACTAAACTAAACTATGAAAATAAAATACTCAAAACAGTCTTTATCATTAAAATATTTACTCAGACTTTCCTTAAATTTCTTTGAATTAACTGCATCCAATATATCTGAAGGCAACCCATTCCAAAGCCTAACCACTCCATTTAAAAAATAAAGCTGTCTTAGCTGAAGCTGACTTCAGTGCCAAAATTTAGGCTTGTGTTCCTACAATTCTCACCATTAAGTACAAAAAAACTACAATCAATTCTCTTAAGAATCTTAAACTCCTCCATCAGATCTCCTCTAATCACTTTTTTTTCAAGAGAAAAGGAGTTTCATGGATCTTAACCTGTCCTTAAATGACAATCTTTCCATCCCATATATCAACCTAGTAACATCTTTCCAACAATTCAAAGTTCTTCCTAAGGTAAGTAGCCCAACACAACACTACAAATATGGTCTAAGTAGGGACCTACAGAATGAAAATATACCCTTTTTAGACTTGTATTCAATATTCCTGTGTATACAACTAAAATCCTATTTGCTCTACTTCTAGTAACAGTACATAACTTGGATGGCGTAAGAGACTGATCAACTAGAACACACAAGATCCTTTTCTTCCATTACACTGTTAAGGTTATTTCCATCCAAATTATATGTATAATTCAAATTATGATAACCCACATGCATTATCTTGCATTTATTATGATTAAAACACATTGTCCATTTATTTGCCCAACTCACTGAATGATGTAAATCCTTTTGTAAATCAGCAGCATCCTCTTCACAGCTGGCAACACCAAAGATCTTAATATCATCTGCAAATTTAAGTAATTTATTGACTATCCCTTCATCTATGTCACTGATGTAATTCAAAAAGAGTACAGGTCATAACACTGAACCTTAAGGTACTCCATTTGTGAAAGTAATCCAACATGACTGAACTCCATTTACAACAGCCTTCTGCTTTCTTCCATCCAGCCAGTTTTCCATCAATGAGTCAACCTATCCCCCACACCTACAGATACCCTTTTAACATGCCTTTTATATGGCATCTTGTTAAATGCTTCCTGAAAATCCAGATACATCAAACCCATACTTGTTCCCTCATTTACATAAAACGTAACTTCCTCAAACAATATCAAAAGATTAGTAAGGTAAGATTTCCCTCTTGTGAAACCATGCTGAATATTCCAAAAAGATTTTAAACTTGGTGAAGTGACTTTGCAAAGCATCTTCCATAAGATATTCAAAAACTTTCCCATCACTGATGGAAGACTAGTAGGTCTATAATTACTAGAAAAAGTTTTATCACCTCTCTTGAAAATAGAAGTAATAGAAGTAAATTTTTGATATAAAAATGTGATGTTCTAGAGTCATCTATCTTAACACAGCAGCAATAACTAAAACATTCTTTTATTTTAACATCTTACAGTACTAAATAGCTATGTACAGCTCAGAAAAATTTTGATCGTATACACCATGATCTAGTCTAAAATAAACTAAAATAGACATGGATATAAAGTTGATGTACCACATACATCAAGATCTAGTCTAAAATAGACATGGATATAAAGTTGATGTACCACATACATCAAGATCTAGT